CCCTTCACTGCTGACAATGCAACATAGAAAGTTGCTTCTGAAGTGAGAAAGATGCACTTTTCAGGGTTGAGTATCAGCCCAAATTTTTGAAGAGCGAGGAATAGCTGTTCCAGTGTGGTGTAGTCATGAAAAGTTTGGGCATGGACGAGATTGTTGTCAATGTATGATGAGAAATGTAAAATGATGGTGGTCAATTCCTCAGCTATGCATTGAGAAAAGTTGACCAGCAGATATTGGAGTCAAAGGCTAAATGGGTGTATTGGTAACATCGATCCTTCCAAGTGAATACAGTTTTGTAGCAGTCCCATTCGTTGATAGCAATTTGCCAGTATCTCTTATGGAGATCAAGGAATGCAAAGTACTTGTTTCCCTTACCAATCTTGTTGAAAATAGAATTGATCATTGGCAACAGATACAGGTCTAAATCTGTGGGTACCTTATTGAAAGTCCTCTTGAAATTCAGATGGAAAAGACAGGGCTGGTGAAGCCTTTTGGGTCAGCACAGAATTTGACAATCCCTTCAGTGGCCATGTGTTGAATTTTGATGTTGACATCAGCTTCTAATGTCTGTGTGATTGCGTATTGCTTTTGGCTGTGGGCCTGGTCATTAGTGGGTATGTGCACTGGCTTAATGAATGTGCCCTTATTGTTTTTATTACCAATGATATTGGCGTAGTTGATGAGAAGGGCTGCTGTGACTTCTACTTTATTGCAGTTGGGGTGAGGAGGGAGGACTATGCCCATGTTTTTCCTAAGCCAGTCCAGTTTTGGCACTAAGGACTGGATATTGATCTGGGGTTTTGCCATAGGCTGACTTGTGACGAGCTGGGCTCCATATGCAGATGTGAGCCATTTCTGGGTTGGTGCTATATGAGCTATGTCACCTGATGGCAAGGCTTGATGGAATTTGACTGTGACGTCTTGATTGTTTATGATATATGTTAGCATGTCATGACAAAATGTTCTGGCTGACAAGGATTGGTATAGTGGCATTAGTGACCAGTACATTAATGTTCTGAAATGTGGATGAGCTGGTGTTGCCCACAGTAATATCACTGATTATTTTGCCAATGACAGAAACATTGCTGTTGATTCCATTTATGTGTATGCTTGAAGTTTGCATGTGTTTCTTTGCTTACTCAGGTAGGTAGGAGATAGGTATGATGCAAGTGGTGCACCCTGAGTCTAGGGTGCCTGTCTCAGAGAAAGTGAAGTCAGTGATAGTGTTATCTATTTTTGTGAAAGAAAATCGGCGTGAGTGTGGATGCTGGAAGTTGAAGAGGTGATGCTTTTTTTTTTAATGTCCTGCACTGGGGACTGGGCCATCACATCTTGTTTGGTCCTGACCAAAAATCCATTTCAGGAAATGCGTTTATGTCTATTACTTCAAGTTGTCCTGTGGTTGTTGTTGTTATATTTGTAGATACAGTTGCAACATATGCTTGTGCATGAGGTGGGTGAAAGTAACAGCAATTTTCACCTTTGAAACATGTGAGGCCTCTCATGTAGTTTTAGCAGACAGCAGAGTTGACTCTGTTTTTGGAGTTGATTGTGGGCATGCATTTCTGGTTCTGTTTCAGCATTATGTCATTGTGTTTGAGTGTCATAAAAGTGTTTTGGCCATACATTACTGAATGATTTATCCATCGCTGTATCTATTGTATTTGATGCTTCAAGTTGGCGAGATCCTGATGAACATCTTGATTCACTTGTGCATATGGTTGCTGTTTTTGCATGTACATTACCTCTGTGGTCAGGTTAAGGATAGCGTCTGTGTTTATGCCACAGTTGAGGTAGTGTTGGGTGCTGTTTACTATGCCACCTGCCGAGTAGTGGCTGTCCATCATCTTTATGAGGTGGAGGTATATGTTCAGAGCTGAGTCCTTAATTTTTTCATTCATGTGCTTGATCATGATCTTGAGTCGGCCTGCAAAATCAGTGATCTTTTCACCATCACGTCATTGCAGATCCCACATTTTGCTGAGGTGCTGAAAGTTTGTCATTTGACTTCTATGGCTTCTTAGCAGGTAGGCCCCTAACTGCTTGTATGAGGGAGTGATCTGTTGCAAATCCTCCATCTGTTGGAATATGCCCTTATCGAGAAGTTGCTTAATGATTTTAATAAATTCAGTTTCCTTCCTTGGATAATGTGTGAGCTCAGGTTTTACATGGATTGAGTATGTCTTGTTTAAATTGGTTATGAACCAATTGATATCGTTACCTGGATGGGAATGTTTTACATCGTGTATAGCATCACATAAGGACTGTAGTCATATGAGCAATTTGTAGTCTGTTGAGGTCTGGGACGTGTGTGATCATGACAGAGGCAGAGTCGAGAACCGTCAGCATTTCCTGTTGTTCTGTCTGGAGTTTGTCAGCAATTCTGACTTGATGTTTGCTTGTGAATTCTGGGTCTGTTTTCAGTTTGAGAATGGTTGCCCATTGCTGTTTGATTAGTTCTAGCATTTTGTGGCAAGTAAATTCACTGTGGTCCATCTTGTTCCAGCTGCACGCTTTTGACACCAATTGTTATAAGTGTATGGTGGTAGAACAAAGAAGAAACAATGGAGTTTTAAAGAAATAAATGATAAATCAGTGTAGATGTCTCTTGTTGAAAAAAAGAGATAAGTGGAATTGTAAAAGTCTACTGAGGGTAGGGAAGGAGATGGAAGATTAATTGTGACTTACTGGGGAGATAGCCTTTGGCTAGCAGTCTCTTGGAGATGGGAGGCTACTTTCCAACAAATCTGTGAACCCAGGCCAAGGTATTGTCCAACAGCTGAAAATGTATGTTCTTTCTTAGGCTCAAATTGGCTTCAGTTTTTATTTTGTTTCTTTAGGCAAGAGTGGGTGCTGTTGGATGGAAATTCCGGATTGTATTGCTTATTTTTTTCTTTGAGTGTGTGAGTAAAAAAAATGAAAGGTATGTGTGAATATAAAACTTTAATTAGTTTGCAATAAAACTTTAATTAGAAAAACTTTTAATTGTTTTTATGAATAAAATATATTATGAACACTATTGTCTTAAGAAAAAGTTTCAATGAATACTGAATTTTTATGAGAATTGTGTTCAGTTTTAAAATATTTCAATTAGAATAATTTATAAACTTTTAAATGTTTTAATATTCTGTATTAATTTTTAGCAGTAAGTAATATTGTTATTAAATTAAGACTATTTATTAATCATAAATGAAAAAGCTCACTATACTTCAACGACCTTAATATTTTAAAAAAGAATTTTGCATTTATTTTATGTGTGTATAAATGTATTAATTTTTGTAAATAAAGATGTCCAGATGTGTAATTATCAGAAAATAAGAGTGATAACTAGAGTAAAATTAAAATTGGTAATTTTCTAACATTTCCTTAACAAATGGATTTGTAAGTTAGAATATAAAGCCAAAGTACATAAAATTCAATGCAATTTTACATTGCTTAAAATATTTTCTTAAATTTGTAAGATTATTGAGTAGTTAAAAAAAAATATAAAAAAGGTGTTTACAACATTGTAATTGTCAAGTAATTATTACAGTTATATGTTCCCCTGAGAAAAAATTCCCAAACATGTGTCTATGTATCTTGTTAAAAATACTTTTCTGTGATATTTCAACCTAAAAGTAATATTTGTAATTAAACTTTAAATCAGCTAGTCTTTTTCAAATAAAGTTTACTGATAATAAAAAAACTAATTCTACTCAGTTTAGTTTGAAATACAAGTTATTGGAAATATACAAATATTCTCGTTTCATAAAGAGTATAACATTTGCTAATGGGCAGGGTAGGACTGGGGAAAGATTATTAAAGAGATTTCCAGATTTCCTGATACAAATGGTGAGAACTGATAATTGAATAATCTTTGTTAGTCTTGATTGCATTTCATTCAACTTTATATGGTTTCTTTTATGAATTTTTGGAAATATTTATATTAAATTAAAAATCTGTTAGTTATTGTGTGTAGCTACTGAGCATTACATCATTTTGGTGTTCCATAAATTGTATAATAAAAAAGTACAAGACTTAAATATTTTCTTCCAATAAATTCAAGTGAGCATGAATTATTGAATTATGCAAATGAGAAGTTATGTTATCATGTTTGATTGAAGTTGATAATTTGTATTTCACAATATTTCAAATATCTCAAGTAATCTATAAAAATAAATTTTTATTTTCAATTTTTGTAGGAAAATATAAAATGTAATTACATGTATTGCTCTGATCAACTTTGGAAATAATGTTTTGAGTCAGTTTCTTACAAGACCTTTTGATAAGCAACTGTTTAAAAATAGGTTTTGATCTTCAAGGTATTTGAAATTTTATTTTCTACTATTTCTGATCATTTGAATTGATTCATATCTTCATTAACTTTGACCTCTATGACTTAATTTTTACAAATTTTAATGATTTTTTATGTTGTAGCAATGTTAATAATCTTTAAACCTTTTTATGAGACTCTTCAGTTATTCTACATTTTTTTTTTTTATGAAAACTGATTAATTTATAACGGACAATTTCAGGTAATATATAAAAAGTTGTTACACTGATTTTGAGAAAAAGTAAGCCAAGTAAATATTTGCTTTTACTGGTTATTTGTTTGTATGATTTTTGCATAGTATTTAGTAAAATAATTTCACCAAACTTTTGAAAAATGATGTTTCTTCGTGGTTCTAGATTTTAGAAATTCAGTTGACTGTAATGTATTTTTAGGGTGTGGTCCATGTTTAATTTTTTTTTGTCCTTTACTCTGAAAGCTCAAGTCTGCTGCAGTAATATTAAAGCTGGCATTCAAATATGTCTTGCATATTAATATTTTGCTTCAGACAAAATCATTGAAGAGGAAAACTAGCAGTTGTTTAGGCTGATATATGAAGTTATCTTGCCATTTGTTTTCAAATTATAGATTTTATTAGTGTAAGATTTATCCAGTCTTTCATATTGTTTCATACTTATTTAATTGCATGCATTCTTTGAGATACTGATTGTAATTTTCATTTTTGTTTCAGACTCGCGAGATTTCAGCTCCACGAGTTGGAAAATTTAATATCCACATTCAGGTAATTTGTTTATCATCTTTTAGCAATTATTAGGTTGGTGCAAAAATAATGTCGTTTTTTGACGTTCAACTTCAAAAGATCATAACTCCTTTCATAATAAACTTTATTAATCGAAATAAGAACCATTAGAATTGACACATTTTTGCCAACGAGAAATAAGTTTATTTATCCCATTAGCATAGAAATCCGGAGTTCTGGAAGCGATGAAGTCATTGAAGGCCGATTCGGCATCATCTCGGCTTTTGAAGCATTTTTCGCGCAGGAAGTTGTCGAGATGCTTGAAAAAGTGATAATCGGTGGGCAAGAGATCCGGTGAATATGGCAGATGAGGCAGAGTCTCGTTCAGCTTCTGCAGGGTCAGTTGAGCAACATGCAGGCGAGCGTTGTCATGGAGGAGAATTGGTCCCTTCATATTGACCAATCTTGGGCACATACGTTGGAGCTTCTGGTGCATTTCGTCAATTTGTCAGCAGTACTTCTCCGCCATAATCGTTTCACCCGGATTCAAGAAGCTGTGATGGATGAGACCAGCCGCAGACCACCAAACAGTCACCATAACTTTTTTTTGGTGCAATTTCGGCTTCAGGAAGTGTTGTGGAGCTTCTCCGGCATTCAACCACTGTGCCGAACGTCGCCGGTTGTCATAGAGGATCCACTTCTCATCACACGTCACAATCCGCTCGAGAAATGGGTCGTTTTTGTTGTGCAAAAGGAGCATAGAAGACACCTCAAAACGACGATTTTTTTTGATTATCGTTCAATTCATGCGGCACCCATTTATCCAACTTTTTTGACTTCCCTATTTGCTTTAAATGGCGAACGACTGTTGAGTGGTCGACCTCGATTCAACAGCAACTTCTCGTGTGGTTTTGCGAGGATCGGCTTCAATTAAGGCTTTCAAATGTTCGTTATCAACCGCAGTCGGCCGGCCGCGACCGTCTTCATCTTCGAGGCTCTCGTCACCATTGCGAAATTTCTTGAACCATCGTTGTGCCACTCGTTCATTAGTGGTTCCTGGGCCAAACACATCATTGGCAGCTTTTCGGCCTAGTTTGTACTGGAGCAAGAAAATTGTGCGGATTTGAATTTTGTCCATGCTGTCATAAAGCCTGCAAAAAAATGAATGAAGAGATTGAGAACGGTAACGAATAACACAATTCGATAGAGCGAAAAACGCGCTTCAAAATGATATATAACATGGCTATATATATCAACGAATTAATTCAGAAATCATATATAAAAGTAACATATGTGAGAAAACGACATTATTTTTGCACCAACCTAATAACATGTTTTCACTTTCTTTTAGACTTTTCACACATGCTATCCTGTTTGGTATTTTAATAGTCATTATGCCTTTAAATATCAATTTAAATTATATATTTAATTATTAATTTTATTTAACAATAATTAACTGAAAACAATAATGCTAGGAACAATATTACAGTAAATAGTACTTTGGATTTTCTCACTGGATTAAGGTTTCTCATAAATGAATGAAATTCTTTCATTGCTATGATTATAATTGTTTAATTGTAAATTATTTATTTACACTATTTATATTGTTCGGACTGTTGTCCTCTTCACCTCTGCCAGTTATTGAACTCACAACTCAGTTGGGTCAAGTCACTGGATTCAACCATTGCTTTCATTCAGCAATATTATTTGTTCTGATCTGGTGGCTTGGCTTCAGTCACTTGCCCACCATTGTAAGGTTGCTTCTCTGTGCCTTTTTTATAAATACTTTCATGGTAATTGTTTGGATGAGCTCTTTGCTATTGTACCTAAACTGTATGAAACTAAGCGCAATACTAGACTGGCAGCGAGATCTCATCAATTTGCAGTTAAACTAGCTAGATGTAGCCATAATTTCTATGCTGACAATTTCTTTTTTCACACTTATTGTTTGTGGATCTCCCTTCCAACTTTTCAACCAACTTTAATCTGCAAACATTTAAATGCAGTGTCAATTACTATTTGCTGTCTGCCTGATTGTTCTTTTCTCTTTCTACTCATTACTAATGTTTCTGTTCCTAAATCCTCCACATCCTGTAACCGCTTGCATGTTAGTGGCTGTACTATCATGCTTTGAGAGATACTAATTGAAAAGAAAAATGTATATAATCAGTTTAGATTTAAATTTTAATCTTTCCTGTAAAAAAACAACAAAGCCATACAGTTTAAACTAGCAGATGTAGCTTTACAATATTATGTGGGTAGAATTAATAATGTTTGTCATTGAATTAATTTTAATCACATTTAACAGAAACTTACCTTTATCACAGCTAAAATTATTCAGTAATTTTTCTTAGTTTACTACATTGATTTGTGAGTGTGTATATTTCTTCATTAGCATCTTCATGTGGTTTTGGCACACTTCAGCTGATAATAACCCACTTTTTCTTCTATGTAAGTTGAGTATTATTGCTTTAGTAAAAAACTAAACAGCTGCACACAAAGTGGTAATAAAACAAGTCTTCAAGATTTTTTGACCTAGTTAATGTTTCTGAGATTAACAGTCAGTAGACCATCATTTTCTAATATCTTGACACTATTGAGTGTGAATAGTGGAGTAGTGGAAGGAATCAAAGAATTAGGTCATAACCATTTAGTATTATATGCATATATGGATGAATGTAAAAAACATTAAGTTATAAAGAAATGTTTTTGTGACTGGAATTTGCTTGACTTTATGCAAAAATATTTTTTCTCAACATTCACCACAAGCTTATTGTTTTGACTGGTAAATTCATATTCTTTCTAGAATTAATATACAATCTTAACCATTCTCTTATAAAATATCTATCTCCACATTCCATAATTATAGAAAAATATAATTTCTGTGCTTGTCTCTTAATTGCTTATATTTAAAATTCATATATATTGTTTTCGTTTAAAGCGTTAAGTTTCACATTCCAAAATTATTTAGAATCCATAGTTCTCTTGATTAGTTGAGTAAATATTTCTCTGTCAGCATATTATATTAAAATGAGAAAGTATAATGGACACATAAATAAAAAATTTGGCTGGTTTGGGACTAGCTATGTGGTAAAGACACTAAACTAACTTTTAATCTGTTGACTGGAAAATGAGGCTGTCCAAACAAAAAAAAAAGCTATTTATTTGTATCAAAACCAAATTATGCTGTGTTCCTTCTCTTACACCCACATACACACACACTTGCCTAATTCATTTTATTGAAGGTAAATATATTCCATGTAAACCCACAAAGCAAAATATTGTAGCATGTTGTGGTCCTTTCTTTTATTTTTTTACCTTTAACATATCAAAAATTAATTTATTCAAACTTTCAATTTACTCCATCACTAATTTATTCTGTCATAGAGTTGTTCAGATTCTGGTTCATCTTTTAACTTGTTAGATTCTTCTTAAAAGTCTCTAAAATTGAAGTTCATTTTTTCAAGCATCAACAGCTATATTAGAAACAAGTTTAAATCTTAAGAAACCCACTAGAATATGCATAGAAAGTTTATGAATAGTGCTTTACTGTTTTTAACGAATAAATTTTGGCAACATGCATTTCAAATGCAGGGCAAAATCATTTAAAAACTAGAAGATATAATGACTACATTTTCAGGCTGACACTATTAAAACAAAGATGAGAATCCATGAGAAAATAAAACTGAGTACTTTTTTCATCCTTCAGTATATTTCATATTCAACATGTTTTCAGAGTGAGGTAAAGATATTAACTACTCTTAGTATATTCTTGAGCCTGTACTTACCATAACAACTTATACTAAGTGAAAAATTTTCTTGTACTGTATTTAATTATCTCCCACCATGAATTTTTAACGTGCACTAGTTTTAAATACCATAATCATTCCATTGTGGTTCTGTGACCTCTTCCATACATTATTAGACATTATTAGTTGAACATTGTCTTCTTGGTCATTGGCAGCAATTGTAATGTTTTATCCAACCAAAATCATGGTCACTGGACATTGCTTGAGTTATTGAAAGTGTTCATCCTGTCAGTGAATTCAATCTGGAGATCAAGATGAAATTGTCTTGCATTATTATGATGTATTAAATGCTTAAGTCAATCAGCCCTGGTTAAAATATCCTCCAGTGGGGTTCTGATCAAGTGATAATCACATGTTAAAAAGGGCTCTTGGGATTTTTTCAGAACACAACAAAACTGTTGTATTTAACATTAAATTTTAAATAATAGCATTATTTTATAGCATCTACAGAAAGTGTGTAAAGTTCACTAAAAAAGTTACTAAGTCTCAGAGGCAACCATTATTGTAATAGTCCTACAGATTATTTTTCTTTCTTCAAATACAGGAGACAGTTGGGAGAATTCTCTCTCTTAAAATCATTAATATTTTCTTGGTAGGGATTGTATGTGTGTTTTCATTAGATGTTTCTATCGAAACACAGCAACAATGTTCATTCAGAAATTGATCATGTGAATGTGACAATTGAACATATTTTCTTTCTAGGAGCTGTTCTCAATGAGCATGAACCTAAAACTCTTTTCAAATATACTTTGAGTACATGTTTTATATGGATCATGTGGATGATATATTAAGTGAAATTATTCATAAATTTCACTGGTCTTGAATATGTTCATTGTTTGAAAAGTAGATACCTATTTGTTGACATCCAAAAGATTTACTTGTAAAATTTACTGGCCAAATAAGGAGCTTTAGATGAATAGCATTTAAATGAACATGATTCAGGCTCTTGGATGACTTTTAGTGACTAAGGTGAAGTTATTCAAGTTCTATTGGTCATATCAAACCACCTAGGAAAAAGTAGGACTGAGTTTTGGATTTAATTCGTTGTGAACAATTTAATATGTTTATTAAGTTATCCACTGGTTCAAAATTTTCAGTGGCCCTCAGCATATCCTTTACCAATTTTATTTATTGAAATTCATTTAAATTATTTGATTATTGTTTTGCAATTACTCCACTCCTCATTTAGATTTAATTGACAAATTTTTCTTTAGTTTCTCCCAAACTCACATT